TCACTTATGCTGGGCGTTGTGGATCATACCTGGAAACCCAAAATTTGGGTAACTGAGGCAGGAGAATTGCCATGAGTTTGAGGCCAGCCTGGGCAACACGGTAAATTATGGGGCAGCCTCCTGGGATACAGTGTAAGCATATTTTATGTCACAACATAAAATAAAATAGCCAAAATGAACAGGGTGTGGTGGCATCCCTCTGTGATATCAGCGTTTGGGTCAGGAATTCAACATCAGCCTCAACTAAACAGCAAGACGAAGGCCATCCTGGGCTACTTGAGACATTGTCTCAAGAACCAAAACCAAACCATTCACTTCAGTGTTATCCTGAGATGGTAAACAGGGTGAGATTGTAAAATTCGTGCCTGAGACCATGAGGATGGAAAGCATTTGACTCATCCGATATGGTCCAGAGAGAACTCATAACCAAAGGCAGTAGTGGCAGCTCTCTCCTGAAAAATGTTGCCTTTTGGAGCAGCCGAGAAAGCAAGGCGTGGGGAAGCTAAGCACAGTGGCTGCACAGCACACTGGAAAGAGTGGGTCCCCCACCCCGGAGAAGCAGATGCACTCAGGGACAACCTTGGCAGCAGGCTGCTCCATGTCTCTTTCTTTTGAGATGTACTTGATCCAGAGGGGGTCCCCACTTATAGCACTGAAACTTCTCCGCCTTCAGTTTCTCTTCTATGACTGCCCTGGGATATTTCTTTTTCTGTTATTATTACATGTCTTCTGTGTGTGTGTGTGCCTGTGTGTGCGCACGCGTGTGTGTGTGTATGTGTGTATGTGCGGGTGCCTGTGTCGGTGCATTCTTGCTATGGCATTTGTCGTGGCAGTCAGAGGACAAGCTGTAGAATTGGTTTTCTCCTTCTGCTATGTGGGTCCCCAGGATTGAACTCAGGTTGTCAGGCTTGGTGGCAAGCACCTTTACACCCTGAGCCATCTTGCCCCCTCTGTGACATTCCAATGCTGGGTCCTCAAAGGATTTCTGGCTCAGAAATTGTAATTGCCTTCTGAGCTTATGACCCTTCTTGGCAGGATCTCAATTTCCCTGGATTTTATCCCTCTCCCGCACTCATTTCCTTTGCTCTATTTACACTGGGACCCAGGAGGCCTCTTTTCAAGCAGTCTCTTGTCAATATTCACTTTATCAAATCTGTTGGCACAGCTCAAATAAGAAATACAATTTGCACACGATCTAGAATTCATTTGATATATATTGATACATACAAATGCATGTATGCATTGGCTTCTCCTGACTTTAGTCCAAGCACAGTTATTTTTTAAATCTTTCCTTAAAAACAGTTCTTGAATTTAGAATTCTGTGTCTCTCATGGGCACCAGGTCATTTCATCAGTCTCTTGCAGAAACCAAATTGCTGCAAACTTAGTGTCTCAAAACAGCACAGACGGCTTGCAAGGATACCTCAGTCAGTGTGGTAGTTTGAAGGTAATTAGCCCCCATAAGCACAATGGGAGTGACATTATCAGGAGGTGTGATTTTGTTGGAGTAGGCATGACCTTTTTGGAAGAAGTAAAATTCCTCTCACTGTGGTAACTTTGAGGTCTTATATATGCTCAAGTCACTCCCAGTGAGACAGGACACTTTCTGCTGCCTTCAAGGCAAGATACAGGACTCTTTGCTCCTCCTCCAGCACCATGTCTGCCTGCAGGCTACCATGTCATGTCACACCATGGTGATAATAGGCTAAACCTCTGAAACTGTAAGTGATCCTATTAAACGCTTTCCTTTATAAGAGTTGCCGTGGTCATGATGTCTCTCCACAGCAATAGAACTCTAACTAAGACAGCCAGTAAAGTACATGCTTGATTCTCAGAACCCATATGAAAAAATGCTGAGCAGGCATGGTAGAGCCCCTTGTAATTCCAGCGACAGAGAGGTGGAGGCAGGCAGATGGGCTGGCCATCTAACTAGGCTAGCCCTCTTGGAAAGCTCTGGGACAATGAGGGACCTTTTCTCAATGACAAAGGTGTACAACACTCAAAAGGAGGCATTAGAGATTGCTTTCTGGCCCCCATGTACATGTGAGCACAAATGCATGCACTCACACTTGTGCATGGGCACACACATGCACTCACAGAGAACTGATGCACAAAAATGTCTGTGACAGTCTGTGCAGCAGGCAGTTTGTACTTGAGCTTTTCCTCATTGCTGTGGCCAATGACCTGAGCAAGATCAACTCAAGGAAGAAGCTCATGGTTTGAAGGTAGAATCTGTCATGGCCACAGGAGGGTAACACAGATGTTCACACTGTATCCAGGGTGACAGAAATGTTCACACTGTATCCAGGGTGACAGAGATGTTCACACTGTATCCAAGGCGACAGAGATTTCACATTGTATCCAAGGTGACAGAGATGTTCACACTCTATCCAGGATGGCAGAGGTGTTCACATTGTATCCTGTCAGGAGGCAAAGAGAGCATTAGGGGCTCATCTGGATTTCTCCTTTTTTCCAAACTAAACTTCCTTCCTTCCTTCCTTCCTTCCTTCCTTCCTTTCTTTCTTCCTTTCTTCCTTCTTCTGTGAGCGTATGTGCATGTGTGTGTTGGTACATGAACCTGTGTGTGTACCGGAGCCCAGAAAAAGGGCATCAGGTCCCCCCTCTATCACTCTCTGTTTATTTCTTTGAGGTGGGGGACACAGAGCTTACATTTTCTCAGCTGCGCTGGAAGTCAGCAAGCCCCAGTGACCCTGTCTCTGCCCCACTTGAAGCTGGGGTTACAAGCATGCACTGAACGCCTGGCTTGTTATTTGGGTGCTGGAATCTGTGCTCTGATCCACATGATGGCATAGCCAGTGCCCTTAATCACTGAGTCGACTCTCCAGCACCCCCTTTTCACTCCTTATTCAGTCTGCAGACCCCATTTGCATTTAGGGTGGGTCATCCCCCCTCAGTTAAACCTTTCTGGAAACCTCACAGACATGCCTGCGGGTGATGTCATATATCATCAAGATTAACTATTACAGAGGACTTCTGTCCAGGAATCCAGGAGCCAGTGCTCTCCTGTCTCATGACCCCACCTTCTCCAGAACCCTGTTCTGTCCTTTATCTACTAGAGCAGCAAACCATCTTTCGAATAAACAACGAGCTTTCAGCCAAAGTCATCCTCTGAGCATTACTTTGAAGTTGCAGTCAGCTGTTCACTCGGCAGGGTTCTGGGAATTGGGGGGTTGATGGGTAGGAAGTTTTAAGGAGATGTCCAAAGGGAACTAAACAGTGGGGTCCCTGCCTAGCATGTTTCAGGGTAGATGCTGGCCCTCCCAAGTATCCACCCTGCCTTCCTTCAGGCAGAGTGTGCCCCATAGGGTGTTGAGATGCCATAAAGAAATTCGGAACCACTAGTACCGGTCACTTTGTCAGAAGCAGCCTCCCAGCATGCCACGCCAGGAGCCTATGCAGTTGAGGCTTGAAGACAGATGAGCGCAAAGCAGATTCACACTGGCGCCCTATTTCCTTTTGCTGTCCGTATTAGACTTTGCTTCTCTGAGCAAGGTGGACTTCCAAAGGAGGAGGAGGAAGAGAAGGAGAAAGAGGAGAGAGAGAGAGGGGAGGCAGACAGGCAGACTGGCGGAGAGGAGAGAAAGGTAGGGGCAGGGTGGGCATTTACAGCCTTCCTCAGAACACTCATGTATGAACGAAAGGACTCTAGACCAGTCTGCCTCGCCTCTTTGCCTGTGAGCTTCCAGGAGGCCCAGGTACCTTCAGTCAGGAATTATACTTCTAAGAGATTCTGCAACCTGAATGGGACTCACAAGACATGGGTCGCCTGTGCATGAATCTGTGTTCTGGAGCTGCCCTCCCTCCCAATGCCTTCCTGTGAGAGTCTGCCCAGCACATCCCACACACACCTCAGCAGAAAGTCCCTGGCTCTGCTCCCGGCAGCCTGGCTGTTGACCTTATGAGGTGTGAGAAGGAGGAAGAGAAATCTACATCCCGGCCAGAACTCACTTCCTCATTTCTGAGAACCAGCCCTTGCTCCAGACCTGACAGGCTATAGGTCCTCAGAGCTTCCAGAGTCCAGGTCCAGTCTGGCTCCTCTGACTGCTTGAGACGTCACCAGGGAGACAGGGATGCAGAGCCTATTTTTGGTCCTGTGATTGCTGGAACAATTTCCAAAATGGCTGGCGCGTACATCAGAACCCCTGCTTCTGCAGTCCCAGAGGTCTGGGATGGAGGCATTGGCAGAACCTCACACCCTCTAAAGCCCCACTCCCTGCACCCCTAGTTTCTGCTGGTGGTCTGCCATCCTTGGCGTCCCTGTCATTTCAGTCACTGCCTTCTGCCTTTTTTTTCCTGATGGGGACACTAATCAGAAGACATCAAGGGTTCTTCCGAGCTCAGTATCCTTCGTTCCAGCAAATTATGCCTGATGTCCTGTTTGCAAATGAAGTAACAGGAGTCTGGAAATACACTATTCGGTCCACAGCAAAGGTCCACTGTATTTCTTACCCTTAACCTCCTCCCCCAACTTCTTCCTGGCAAGCCTTACGCTATGGAGGTAGCCTTCCCCAGCTTTCCTCTCCAGGGCAAGGCAGGCCCAGGAGTGGTTTCCTGAAGTTGAATGGCACCCCTTACTCCAGGAAGGCCTGGAGATCAGAAAAGTCAATTCTTCCTCAGAACGGGTGTCCACATGCCCAGGGACACCCACACAGCATAGTTTCCTGCTTTACAGAAGCTCTTCCAGATTCTGTGGGCTCGTGGCCAATCCCTTAGTGTGCTGCCTGAAGGGATAGAGCCCTCCCAGCCTCGTACCAAGCCATCACAGACCAAGGTACCCAGTTCACACAGGAAAGTCCCATCTGGCCCCACAGACCCCTGTGACCTTATTGGTCACCTGCCTCAGATCTGCTGCAGAAGCTGCCCTCCACACCAGCGCTGCCCCTGCCTCAGGGACATTAGCTTCTCCTTGCCCTGAAATCTATGCAGGAATGGGGAGGGGGGCTTCCTGGGGCTCTGGTAACCCAGCTGAATATTTTCCAGGTTACTTAACCAAACTCCTGCAAAACCACACCGCCTATGCCTGTGATGGGGACTATTTGAACCTACAGTGCCCTCGGCACTCAACAATAAGTGTCCAATCGGCATTTTATGGGCAAGATTACCAAATGTGTAGCTCCCAGGAGCCCACCTCCCAGAGGGAAGACAACCTGACCTGTGTGGCCTCCACCACTTTGCAGGTACTGCGTTTCATGGATGTGTTAAAATCATGGAATAGGTTTTCCCTCTCTTTTCTCTCTATCCTTCCCTCTCTCTCTCTATTTCTATGTTCATCTATGTGTGAGTCTATGGTTCTTTCAAAGCAAAAATTGGTGAAAACCCCAATTACTATAGATCATTAGTTTTTATAGGTGAGCTATTACTTGCTTCTCTAAGGTCTTTGCCATACAGTACAAAGGAACCCTATGTGATGACGTGTTCCCTTAGCATTATTTCCATGTGGAGTTAGTCACAGGCACAGTCTTTACTGTAATGAAGCCCAAGCAGCCATATTGGATCCAACCTTCAAGTCCACATCACTGACAAGCGCCCAGGGGGGAACCCAAGTGCCTCTGATGCTGGCCTTGGTGGTCACGATGAACTTCTTAGAGAATGGCCCAAGAGACATAGCAACACTTGTCCTCCATTTCTCGTGGCTTGTTTCTCTACCTGTAGACATCATGTTATTCTCATATAGAGCTATTTTGAGTGGTCTTGTTTGAATTTTTTTTTCTTCTGAATAATACAACTTCTTCTTCCACTTCCTCCCCCTCCTCTTCCTCCTCCTCCTCTTTGTCTTCTTCCTCTTCTACTTCTCCTCCTCTTCTTTCTCTTCCTCTCCCCTCCTCTTTTCTTCTCCCTCTCCTCCCCCTCTTCCTTCTTCTCTTCCTCCTTGGGCATACTTGGGGAAATTGGTACATTTAGAGATCAAATCACTCCCTGGTGGTTTTAGACTGTGGTTGTCAGTTATGCATGCAACTTTTCCATTCCTGAGGATTGACTGAACCCAGGACCCCCTGCGGGCTGGGCAAGCACCATACCGCTAGGCAAGCTATAGTCTCCACCCCTTTTCATTATTCATTTTTGAGACAGTGCGTTGCTAAGTTACCCAGGCTAGCTTTGAACTTGCTCTGTTGCCCAGGTAGCCATGAACCTTCCATCCTGCTGTCTGCACGCAGCAGCTGGGATTACAGGGCTGTGCCACTCTGGTCAGCATTATCCAAGCAATTTGTAATCTGCCCTCTCTGCTACCCGGCCAAGATCATAAAATCACTGGCCTGAGCTTTAGTGTGGTGATGGTGTTTAATGCCTCTCAAGTTCTTTACAGCAAGTGGCGAGGTGAAGGTCGGCTTCATTATGGTCGGCACAGAATAGGTAGGGGAAGGTAAATTTATCTGAAGGTCTAAGGAGAAGCGAAATATTAGATGATGCAAAGGTTTTTCTTTTCTTCATACTGCTTTGCTCTCTGTCCCAAAGCTGCAGCATCTGGGCAGTCGGTAGCTGGTAAACAGCACAGCAGACCGTCTCTGGCTGGGTCCCCTTGACATGGCTTCCACACTGTGATGAGTGACGAGAGTTTCTTTGGAGGTCAAGCTTAGTGTCTTTGGGTGCCCTGCCCTGCCTCAGTTTCTCCTTTTGGGACCTCCCATCTAAGAGCCATACTACAGCTGGCCCTGACCCCTTCCTCACCCAACCCAGGTGCCCAGGCTCTCTGCTACCTCCCAAGGTGCCAGCACCCAGTAGGACGGAGTATCTACCTGATGGGAGGACAACCGGCTGCCAACTCCAGCCTGCTGGCTCCAGCCTGCTGGCTCCAGCCTGGTGCCCCGAGGGAAGAGGAAGCTCCATGTAGGCTGCTGTGTCAGCATCTGTGTGCAGTTCTGCTGCTGCTCAGAGGGTCAGCTGGCCAGGACGTCCCTACGCATGCCCCCTTCACCCAGCAAACAGGAGTGCCTTTCCCCTGGGACTTAACACCACATTGGCAGCTGAGTCAGCTCATGTCCTGAGAGGCATTGGGGTTTGAGGTAGGAACAGGTTAATAGCTGTCAAGGTAGTTGGTCACAAGATTTGAGCCTGCCCTCAGGTCACAATGGAGAGGACTTACAGTAACTGCCAGAGGCTGTGTGGTTTACCAAGACCGTTAGCCTTGCCAGTGTGTATCTCATCTAAGAGCCATGCTTCCTAGGGGTGTGAAGGGTTCCCCTGGGAATGCTTTCTGATTGACAGATCCACATGTCCTTGGCCCCTGTGGTGGCAGGGTAGATGACACAGTAACTCTAAAAAAAGTTCAAATATCTCCTCAGCATTCAGCCCTAAAGTACAAGGAGATGCTTGGGAACTTTTCCTTTTCTGGGCTTGGTGTCTCTCTCATCAGAACCAAGGCCAGCACCTGAGTTTATTCTATGTAGAGCTTTCTCTGCAAGCCATAGCCTAAAGGAGCAGTAAGAAGTCATGATTCCCTCCATGATGCAGTATGGGGTATCCCAAATCAGAAAGAGAGGGAGAGAGAGAGAGAGAGAGAGAGAGAGAGAGAGAGAGAGAGAGAGAATTTCATTAAAGAAATCACTCAGCAACAAAGTCATGTGGCCATGCCCTTGAGTTTGCCAAGGGTGGGCATCAGCATTAAGTATTTTATTTGGCAAAGTTGGGGTGTTTGAAGTCACTAGGGCTGTGTGGAGTCATTTCTAAAGGTAAGGAGGTAGGATCATATTTCCTGGCCATCATGGCTCTCTCAGCTTTAAAGCTGGAAGTGCCCTTCAGCCGAACAATCAAAGGTGACTTGATATCACTCACGTACCCTGGAACCTCTGAGGGATGGAACGTCTTATGCTGAGCCGTGTGCCCACGGTGGCAGGTTGAGTCAGCTCTCCCACGAGCCTGGCTCTCTGGCCCAGCTTCTTTCTTCTAAAAGCTACAGGGAGCAACACACCCACCACGTAGGCTTCCATCCTAGACAGCTCAGGCCAGCCAGGGAACCTCATGTTCTCGGAGCACAGACAGCCCAGGTTTGGGGTCCGTCAGACACTGTGCAGTTTACAAGCCTATGCTTTTCTACCCCTCCTTCCAGAAGGTGCTGGATGAATGCCAGAACCAGCGGGCCTGCCACCTCTTGGTCAATAGCCGCGTCTTTGGACCAGACCTTTGCCCAGGAAGCAGTAAATACCTCCTGGTCTCCTTTAAATGCCAGCCTAGTAAGTAACTTCTGGGGGGGGGGGCAGTGTGTTTGGGATTGACCTCTAGTGGCAGGGACACTCTGGACTAAAGTCCTCTGCCCATGGTGTTCGTCCAGCCTCAGACCCCTAGTAGGAACATCAGAAAGAGAGATACATGTGTGTGCTCATCTGTGCAAATCTACAAATGTAAAAATTTTTCTCTGGATATCAAACTCGATTGTACTGGTGCTGAAAATAAAGGGAGGAAATACAAGTGGCGTCCTTCACAGTAAGGGACAAATTCTGCTTTACAAAGGGAGCTGTGTTATAAAGCTTGACTTCCCTTGGGCTCAGAGACATGGGCTCCACAGAGCCACCACCTCCAATGTCTATGAGCTGGCTGTCCTCATTCTTGTGGACCAGCATGTGCTGTAGCAATCTCCTCCGTCCTGGTTCCTGTGCTTTCACCATTGATTCGGCCACCCCTCATGCACACAGAGGTTGTCATCAACCCACTACGAGCTCTAAGAAATCCCTCTTCAAAGGAGCAGGTCTCATTTCCAGGCACCTGGGATATGCCTGCAACAAACTGCGGGGCTCAGCCGGGAGACATCCTTTTCTTAGTTTGTTTTGGGTCAGCATAGAAAGTAATGGTGATTTCATGTGCAGTCTGGTTGATCCTATCCCACTCCTTCCCTCTCCATCCCTAGTCCCCTCTACCGTCCACTCCCAGTGGTCCCCTGGCCACCTTCATGTCACGTGACTTCTATTACTCATTATTTTTCACTTCCTTAAAATCTCCCATAGCCCCCTTTCTAGTTTCACACCCCACACCCACACCCATGTATATACACACGCCTAAAAATTAACAGCTAGGATTCTCACACACAACACTTGTCTTTCCAGCACGCTTGCTTGAACAACTCAGTGAAAAGAAATTGTGGTAATAGTATGTGCCCACATGCTAGGAATAATGGTTTTTACAGCTTTCTCACTGCTACCCCAACTCAACTATTTCACTTTCGCATTTTGTTCTCTGTCGGTTCTAAGACCCTAGTAGTCTGGTGCTGGGAGTGGGGCTACAGGGTCATGGGGGAACCCACTGTTCTACCGCATGCTGGAAAGCAGTCCACAGATCTCAGGCTTTTCTCCAGCCATCTCCCAGAGACAGCAGGGCTACGATAGAATCGCCCCTGATACGGTGCATGCGATTACACTCACATCCACACCCACTTTTCCACGCTAAAGAGACCCTCCCATGCCTTATCAACACACACCTTGACACAGCCTTGTGCCGTATTCTGCATACATACCCAGTCACGTGTGTGTGTGTGTGTGTGTACACATACACACATGCGGTCGCACACTCCCTTGCACACCCAAACACACACCTGTCTTACACACTCACAGACACGATCATAAATAGCCGCGAACAAGTTTAAACATTGAAGAGTGGCTAAACATCTCTTTGTGAGCCTCTCCCCCTCCCCAACCATATCCCAATAGCCCCTACCTCAGCCAACAGCTCAGGACCATCACTTCGCGGTCTCCGAGTTCTTCATGGCCCCCTGCAGCTGACGCTGAAAACCGTGACTGTGCCCTTAGTGCCACTAGGTTTGCCTCTCTGTCTCTACCCCCAGTGCCCACCTTCCCTGATGAAAGCAGTTCCTCAGATTGTCAGCGACTGGAGACTGAGGCAGTGAGAGCCTGGGTACTGTGGGCTGGAGACAGAACATGGGCGTGCCACTCCGAACCCCACCAACCTGGTTAACCTTTTCTAATCCTGATTCCCTGAAGGTCCCATCTCTAAACACCATAGTTAGGTTAACTTTCCACCTTCTTAAGCTTCCCAATGGGGACTGTACAGCATGAGTTTGGAGGGGACAAACAGGGCAATGTTTACACAGGGAGGTGTGGGGTAGGCAAAGCCCCACCCTGGCTGCCCCAAGGAGAAAGGCCGGACAGTAGATGAGCCATGGAGTTGCAGTGTGACCTGGCCATTAGTCGGAGTCATGGCATTTTGGAAGGCGGAAGTGAGATTTTTCTCTATGCCTTCCTCTTTTTTCTGCAGCCCTCCCATCTGCAGAGACCCTGTTTTCCAGTTCCTATCCTGATGTGGGATTCCCCTCGGAATGCTGTGAATATGTTTTATTACCATTGGTTAATGAATAAAGCTGTTTCAGCCAATGGCTTAGCAGAGCAAAGCCAGGTGGGAAATCCGAACAGAGACATACAGAGAAAGTAGGTGGAGTCAGGGAGATGTTGTGTAGCTGTCAAAGGAGAAAGATACCCGCTGGAACCTTACCTTACTGATAGGCCACAACCTCATGGTGATACACAGATTAATAGAAATGGATTAATTCAAGATGTAAGACTAGCTAGAAATATGCCTGAGTCATTGGCTGAACAGTTTTGTAATTAATATAGTTCCTGTGTGCTTATTTGGGTCTAAGCAGTCACGAAACTGGGCGGCCTCTGTCTACACCACCCTGCTCTGCTGTGCGCACTGCGCATAGCTGCACCCAGTGCGATTGTACAGTTGACCTGTGTGTCTCTTCCCAGTGTCGTGCTCTGAAAAGCCCACATGATGAGAGCATTGGTCCAAGGGGAACTGACAGGCACTACACACCGTGTTGGCTCTCTGGTTGTATTTTGCAGAGTTAGTTGATCAACAGACCTCACTAAAATATCTTTCTGCCGAATGTACTGCATACACCCCCTTCCCTTCTTCGCTCTATGGAATGTGGTTTCAGGACAGCCTTGGATCTAAGCAGTTGTAGGTAGGTGACACTCTGCTGTAGGTTGTTGTGTGATCTTGGACACTTTCAGAAGCGCCATTGTTCAATTGTGAAGTGAAAATAACGACCCTTCCACACCACACGGGTTGCTGAAAAGTTTGTAAAGCTGAGCCAAGTCGTGGCTCTCTAACATTCCAATAAACAGCCTAATGTAATTCTGGTCAGTGCTGTGCCTGACTGACAAGCAGTGATGTGCCCAGGGCTGACATTGGCAGGGCCCTGGGTGCTGGCGATGGCAGGGTACATAGTCAGTACAGAGTTGTAGGACACAATCCAAGCAAGCAAATGCCCATCTGAATTTTAATATTGCCTTGCAGCTGCAGCTGTGGGCAAGACCAATAACAAACTGCTCCCGCCATGGTAGATTGCTGCCCCTCCCACCTTTGACAGGCCACTGCTGCAATGTCAAAGTAAACTGGTCCCTGGCACAAAGTGCTGTGCACTGGGGGGGAAACTAGACTTTGAATATCTATCTGTTTATGGTGCTGGAGATTGAATCCAGCGAATTTTGGCTTTTTGTGTTTCCCTGAGCTAACCATATGCAATACGATTCTTTCTTGCAACACTTAGCAGGACTGCCAGTCATAGCTCCCAGCTGGCTCTTAAAACATCGCTGGACTGAGTGGGGTGGGAACATGCCAGGACATGTAGGTGGAGGTCAGAGGACCATTTGCAGGAGTTGCTTTCTCCCTCCAAAATATGGGTGCCAGGGATGGAATTCAGGTCATCAGGCTTGAGAGCAAATACAATTGATCCATCTCACTGGCCCCTAATTGGTCATGTGACTACAAGGAGACACTATGATGTGTTTGTAGCTTGGGTGTGTTAAGTGTATTTCAATCTAATTTTTGTAAAAAAAAATTCATATAAAAATGACATCTGTATTTCCAACTTGACAGCTTTTTAACTCACCGTGGATTTATTTGGCCATAGCTTTTTGCAGGTCGAGGACTCTCTGTGTGTACTGTAGGAGAAGTGGGGTGCCTAGCATGGCTCTCTATCTGGTAGAGATTTGCAGGAAGTCGTGTCTGCTGCCTTTCAGCACAGTCCTGCCTCTGCCTTCCCAGGCTCCTCTGCTCTCTCTGCAGAGGCAGTGATGACTTACCCTGGGGCAGCTGCCTGGAGCTCTGAGCTGAGACATGTGGTAAACTCTTCCAGGTCGTACCAAATTCTGCTCCTCCTAGAAAGCAGCAGCTAGGTTAGGAGTTCCCTGCCCTTTTAGATCCCAAAATGTGCTCTTAGGTGACAGCACATTTGCAAGCAATCAAGTGACTCAATATAGGACTCAACACAGCAGGAAGTGTTGGGGAGGGGGTTCTGTCCTGCCTGGTGCCCGCAATCATTAAGTCCCAAAGAAATCACACAGAGGTCTACATTAGTTATAAACTGTTTGGCCCATTCTTATTAACTCTTATAACTTATACTAGCCCATTATTCTTGTCTATGCTAACCACGTGGCTCAGTACCTTATTTAGGAAGGCAGTCACATCTTACTTCTCCTGTGGTTGGGTCAGGACTGCAGACTAGGACTTCCTTCTTCCCAGAATTCTCTTGTTCTCATTGACCTGCCTCTACTTCCTGTCTGGTTGTCCCACCTATACTTCCTGCCTGGCTACTAGCCTATCAGCGTTTTATTAAAATACAATTGACAGGGTACAAACCATTGTCCCATAGCAAGGAAGCAATGTGGTATATGCCAATTCTCTCCCCTACAAGATGGGTCACCTGCTGTGGTGGGGGCAGGGGTCTGGAGGCCTTACACATGGGTGTCCCATCATCTTAAGTGGGTTTTGATGGCATTGGTTGAATGAGCTTTAGTTACTCAGAGACATGGTTAATATTCACTCCATGGTGTGCTTAAAACGTTGTAATAACTGGGGTTGGAGAAATAGCTCTGTGTTGACTGAGGTTTCTGTCCTGCCTGGTTCCTGCAGTCGTTAACTCCCAAAGAAATACACAGAGGTCTACATTAATTATAAACTGATTGGCCTATTAGCTCAGACTTCTTATAAACTGTTATAACTTATATTAGCTCATAATATTTGTCTGTGTTAGCCATGTGGCTTGGTACCTTTTTCGAAGTGAGGCAGTCACATCTTGCTTGCTCTCTGTCTGGGTGACGACTGCAGACTGAGTCTTTCCTCTTCCCAGAATTCTTGTTGCCCCACCTCTACTTCCTGCCTGGTTGCCCTGTGTATACTTTCTGCCTGGCTACTGGTCAATCAGCATTTATTTAAAATACAAGTGACAGGGTATAGACCATTGTCCCACAGCAGCTCAGCAATTAAGAGCACTGGTTGCTATTCCAGAGGACCTGGGTTCAATCCCCAGAACCCACATGGAGACTCTTAAAAGTCTGTAACTCCAGTACCAGGGAATCCTCTGGCCTCTGTGGGCACCAAGGACACAAGTGATATACATACAAGCAAGCAAAACACTCATACACATTAAGTAAACTGTGATTTTGTGTTGGCTGCATTCATAACTAATTATATATGGTATCAGGTTGGACACCTGCCTGGAATGTTCCCAGATATAGACAGACAGACAGACAGACAGACAGACAGATAGATAGATATAGATATATAGATATAGGTATAATCATCTGAACTTATCCAGAGGGGACATGCTCCAAGAGGGACTGTGTAGGTCTGAAGCTACAGATATTATCAAACCCTGTATATACTATGATTTTCATATAGTTGCACACCCGTGATAAAGTTTAGAAGTTTAGTTTGGGCACAGGTAGAGATCTATAACAACCAATAACAGAACTTATAGTCATGGTAATAATAAAATTGCCATCATTAATATTCTTGTCCTTTGGGACTGTCAGGAAGTAAAATCAGGGTTATTTGAATATAAATATTTCGACAATGAATCTGATAAACTAAGAAAATTAACGAAGGGACTAACGGGCAGGTAGCATATACAGAGGGGATATGCTGGGCAAAGGAAGATCCGTGTCCTGTATGGACAGAACACAGCAGCCAAAGAGTACGACACACTACTCAGAATAGGGAATAGTTTAAAATTTAGGAATTGTTGACTTCTGGAATTTTCTATTTACTGTTTACAACTTGCATGAGGAAGTGGCTGTTGACTGTATTAAAAGCCAACCCCAGGGCTTACCGCCAAAACTGGTAGGCATTTTGAGATCTGAAGTGTCTCAGCCTGTGACAAAAAAGGTTGGCTCTTTCTGCTTCTTTGGGCTTTGGTGAAAAGCCACAGGAGCTTCCAGGTCATGGGAAGGTGGGGTTCATTGCTGATTGTTCCCTTTCATGTTTTCACGTTGGAGCTTAAGCCTTGCTGGTCCTGTCAGAGGTCATCCAGCTGTCCCAGCTCTGCTGTGTGCTACATCTGCTTTTCTGGAAGGCTTATGGTGGGAGCCTCCAAACCACTAGGATTCCAGCCCACAATAAGAAAAACACTGTACTTATTGGCTCGACATGACGTATGCTCCCATGACCATGACTGAAGGACGATCTTTGAAGATCACGCCAGTGTTTATCTGTATGGAATGCCCTTTAAAATTTTTGATGATTTCTAATCATTCTTTTTTGTCTTTTTCTTTTTTTCTGGAGACAGGTTAGAGATGGGACTTATTATGTAGCTCAGATTGGCCTCAGACTGCCTGGGCTGTGGGAGGGCTGGGACCACTGCTGTGTGCCACCACTCCCAGATGCTCTTAAATTTTAAATTTAAGCTTTTAAATTTGCTGGTAATAGTTCACTAACTGACTTAAAGACTCATCAGTGAGTCTCAGGTCACATCTGAGAGAACTGGCTCTTGAGTCTTGAGGTGTCTCAGGACACGGAATCAGGCAGAGCGAAAGATAAATGTGAGCTCAGGATATATATCTATATCTGTATCTGTATCTATATCTTTATCTATATCTATATCTATATCTATATCTAAGCTTTCTTGGGGAAGCTGGTTTCCTCCACACAACCAGCCTAGGCTAGCCCAGACCAGTCCAGGCCACCCAGGCAAGCTGGAGCAGCCTGCCATTAACTCTTTTTGCCTATGCTTTTCAGAAGCTTTGCGAAGATAGTGCATCAAAAGGCTGATTTGCATGAAGCTACATTTAATGTGCTCAGGATCGGACTGAGGGAAAGCCCCTCACTACCAATTATTATTTCTATAGTGTGTTGAGGTGTAATTGGTATAGCATGAAATCCACCCTTTATAAGTGAACAGTTCAAAACCTTTAGTGAATATGCTGAGCCATGATCTCTCACCCCAGTGCAGCCAGAGGACATCCCTGTCTTCTGTCCAAGCCTCCTCTATTTTCTCCTGGATCACACTCACAATCTGCCTGGAAACTTTTGCCTTGTCTTGATATCTCACATATGGTTGGTGACAAGCCAAATATGTGACAGAGGTCCTTAACGATTATGACCGGACTGAAAATACTGTCACCTGGCATTTCTACCACATGTGTCCTGTGTGTCTCAGTGTTAAAGGCTTGGCATTGTGATACAGTAGGGCTTGGTCTTCTAGGAGAGCAGCAGGCTGTGCAGGCTGTGCAGACTTGCAGCCCATGCTCCAGAGACTGCATCTCACAGCAGGCTGTGCGGTCTGTGCAGGCTTGCAGCCCAGGCTCCAGAGACTGCATCTCACATCATAGGAGTGTAGAGCTGGGAATGTAGTTCAGTAGTAGGTGTACCTAGCATTCAAGAAGTTCTGGATTCCACCCATAGTATTACAGCAAACAAACCACCCAACGAAGTATCATAGGCATGAAAGGACTGTGCTATCTAGACTTGTGTATGTGTGCTCCACGATGTTCACACAGGACATACTCTCAAACAATCCCCATTATCGATACTATATATGTGTATGATATATATCATATAGCTACAATAAATAGAGTTGTTCTTTTTTTTGTGTTGTATACATCCCAAGATCCTAGTGGATATTCCAAATCAAAAAGAAAATTCCTTTTTCTTTTTTTAAAGATTTATTAAAAAATGATATGTGTTGGAGGTGTATGTTCATGTGAATATATTGCTGGGTCCCATTGTCTTCCTCGGGGGAGGGTATGAAAAGGCGCAATGTCAACAACCACAGACGCTGAGAGTCAGGTAGAAGACTTACAACAGACTCCTTTATTTAACGACAGGGGAAACTTACACTCCCTCCCAGCACCCAGGCTGCGTGACAGTTGACAGTTGCCATCTCATGCTCGTCTCTCATTGGCTAGGCACAATCAGGACCTCTGACAGCGCCTGTTGCTAGGCACTCAGGAAGCACTGCTTGGTAGCTCCCTATTGGCTGGGCCCAGACAGGCCCTTTGACAGTTCCAGGCAGACTCCTGATTGGCTCCTTTTGGACTGGTGGGCCTTATCTTCCTACATGACTTTAGTTGTTCACGGAAGCCAGAGGTGTCAGATCCCCCTGGAGAACCTGTGAGCTGCCTGACGTGGGTGCTGGGAATCAAACTCAAGTCCTTGACAAAAACAGTGCATGATCTTGACTGCTGAGCTGCATCTCCAGCCCAGCTGTCCCCTCACACACACACGTGTTAATGGCCGAGCTTGGTTTCTAAGTCAGGCAATAATGAAGTAGAATAGCGGTATCAGTTACTCCCATGAAAGTTATGTGCATGCGGGCTCTTGGAATTTTCTGTTCGATGCTTTTAAACTGCGGTTGACTAAAGGTAACTCAAACCCAGGAGAGAGGAACTGTGGATAAAGGAAGAGATAGAATAAATGGGAGAAGATGCTGCAGTCTTTTGTGTCTGGAGAGTCAGAAATGATTCCTTAAAGAGGCACACACCTTTAATTCCAGCACTCAGGAGGCAGAGGCAGGTGGATCTCTGAGTTCCAGCCTAACCTGGTCTACAAAGGGAGTTCCAGGGTAGCCAGGGCTATCTGTTTCCAGAAAGAAAAGGAGAGCAGGAGAGAGATACCTCCCCATTACAGGTGTGAGCCACCTCATCTGCTTTGCGTGGTGTTGGGGGTTCAATGCAGGGCTTCACGAATGCTAGACAAGCAAACACCGCCATCTGGACTCCACGCACCCCAGCCACACTCTGCATTCTTTGTAAACAAAGTCCACCAGATTCAGATGGACAAAGAGGTGGCTGGGGAGCTGTGGCAAGGGCTTGTGGTCCGTGAGTCTCGAGCCAGGAGGGGGATTCCTCCTGTTAATGAATCTTTGCTCTGAAATGGAGTGAGAGAAACTTCCCAGGACCTGAGTGGCCCCTGCCCATGCCTTAAGCCTTTTCCAGTTTGCACATTTGTGACTCCTGGGGTCTTTGCTCTGTCCTCTGGCTGCTCCTCACCTGCTTCCCACAGCAGTCTCCCTCCCCACCCCTCAGGACCTGAAACACCAGGCAGGCAGGGCCATCCCGCTGTGCCCTCCTATGGCTACAGGTCCACAGGGTGAGCAGCTACCACTTAGATGGTCCCCGGCCATGTCTTCCAAGCCAGGCTAATCTGTTTCTGCCTCTTCTGTAGATGAATTAAAAAACAAGACCGTGTGTGAAGACCAGGAGCTGAAGTTGCACTGCCACGAGTCCAAGTTCCTCAATATCTACTCTGCCACCTACGGCCGGAGGACCCAGCAACGGGACATCTGTTCCTCAGAAGCTGAGCTGCTGCCCCCCTTTGGTGGGTGACTTTATTTGGCTATAATTATGCTGTTGTCTGAATGGAGTGTGATCGTGGGTGGGCAATGAGGTGTGGCTGCTACCACGTGAGAGGAAGTCAAGGACAGCGGCTTGTTCTCTAGATAGTGGCCTCTTTGCTCCTAGTCCCAACTCTACTGGTGACTCAGTCACTCTACGCAGAGGTACACGGTGAGTACCTGCTGTATTCAGGGCCCTGTCCAATCATAGATGCCCTTCCAGCAGTGCAAAAGGAGGCCATAAGAAAACAAGAAAGGAACAGATAGAGCAGGCTCTCAAATGCACGAGTTCTGCTCTTGTGGGTTCACCCAAGCACAAATTGTAAATACTTAGTGGGGACGGTTCCTATATTTGAACAGGTTCGGGCCTGCTCCCTTTGTTACCAGGAGTGTCCACCTTGCTGCCCATCAGATAGCTATGGAAAAGCCCCAACACGTTTCTAGATGTCAACGCCACATCACAACGTCGAAAGATCGTTTATAATACCTTCTATAATATTGCACGTATAATATCAGTACAAGCATATATTGTGCTGTAGTGTTCCTAGGAGTGTATGCTTTGAAGGCCTTATGATGTTTGTCTTGTGTGTCTTCCAAGGTTCATGTGCCAGAATTTAATTTCTGATGGGAGGGGGGCATTAAAGTGATGGAAATTTAATGCTCCTGAGGCATTTGGAGGCATGAAAAAAGTGACTAGAGGCAGATAAGATTATCAGTGGGGAGGCCCTATGATCGAATGCTTTGAAAGAAGGGGGTGAGACCAGAGAAGACATCTACAGACATTGCTGTCTCTTGTTATGTGGTACCCTGTGCTGCATGAGACTTTGCCAGAAAAGTCACCATCAGATACGGGCTCTTGACCTTGGACCGGAGCTATGAGCCAAAATAAGCCTATTTTATTTATAATGTTATTCAGCTTGGGTATTTTATTATAGCAAAACAAAATCCAGAAAACTAATACAGAAAATTTGCCCTGGGAGTATATGAGGTTATTGCTATATCTCTATTGGAGAATGTGGAAGTGGCTTTGAAACTGGGTGGCAGGCAGTGATCAGAGGAGTTTGGAGGAATGGGTTGGGAAAAGTTTGCTTGGCTATAAGACAAACGTATTGGCCAATTCTGATGAGGGTGAAGAAGAGACTAGCGAATTAATCTAGATGGAAATGAGGAGCCTCTTAGAAAATAGGGAGGAGGCTATTCTTGTATGAAGTGGCAAAGAACCCCACTGTGTGGTGTCCATACCCTAACACCTTGGGGGACACCACATGTAAAGATAATGGACTCATTTATTAGCTGTCTTAGAGTTTCAATTGCTGTGAAGAGACACCATGACCGCAGCAACTCTTATAAAGGAAAACATTTACTTGGGGTGACTTGCAGTTTCAGGGGTTTAGTCCATTACCATTATGGCAGGACATGGTGGTGTGCAGGCAGACATGGTGCTGGAAAAGGAGCTAAGAGTTCTACATCTTTATCTGCAGGCAACAGGAAGTGAATTATAACACTGAGCATAGCTTGGGTATCGGAGACCTCAAAGACCACTTCCAATGTGACACACTTCCTCTAACAAGGTCATACCTACCCCAACAAGGCCATACCTCCTAAGAGTGCTACTCCCTTTGAGGGTCATTTTCTTTTAAACCACAACACTGGGTAAATGAGATTTCAAACCAACAAAGATTCTTGCTGCTGCATGGCCATTATTGGCTGTTTTTAGTCAGACTTATAGTAAAACTCAGGACCAAAGGGAACGATTTGAAAGGAGGGAGCAGAGAATAAGAATGTAGGGCGTGGCTGTGAAACCACTTACTGGAGAGATTAGTGTGGACAGATGCCAGTTTCTGTGATCGGAACAACTGGAAAAAGGCCTGGAGCCAGACAGGCCCGGGTAAAGTTTCTGTGGATGCTAGCTCTTGGCATCCAGGCCATGCTGGATTTTCAGGCGTACAGAAGGCAGTCCTTGTGGTAGCATGGTGGTTTCCCTGAGATTTCAAAGGGAAGCCTTGAGAATCCTGGCAGAAGTTGACCCTGGGTTGGAGCGCTGTGGAAAGCCCACAAATGAGGTGATGTATAGAGCCGCTGGTGTTGCAGGCAGTGGGTGAATGCTGAAGTCCTCAGGTTCTTGTGTTTGAAACAAGGAATTGGATGTCTATAGTAGCCAGCAAGGTGAGAGCATTTATTAAGAAAGAATACACTCTCAAGAGAGGAAGTCAGAAGGAACCTTAACCCTACAAGTCATATGGACTTTTACACCCCACAGTTGAGGGCTCTTTGTTCATTTGCACGGTACAGAATTTCTCTGTTGGGGTAGCTTATAAAAAGTCACAGCTCACCTCAGACTTCCTGGGGTGCCTGTAGTCAATTCTAGTGGGCCCCCTCTAGCCATAGCCCACAGACCTTTCTCTTCCGCTACCCTGTCCTCCTTTGTGTAAGGCCTTCTAGATCTCACTCTCTGGTCTACTCTCCCTCTCCTTCCTCAGAGCCAAGGTTACATCATTCTCAGAAAGGTATAGCTACAGGACACCAAGCAGCCTTCACTGAGAAAGGCCGCAAGAGAGTAGCCTTGTGGCCAGAAAAGCCATTGCATGGCTTGGGACACGCCCCTCACAGTGTGCTAGAGGGGCTGAACTTGACATGCTGGGGTTTAGTATCTGCCCTGCAGGGTTTTAGACTTGCTTTGAGATGAATATTCTTTCTCACTTTTCCAGTCTTAGAAATGGGTGAGTTGTTCTGATTTTACAGGTTTGCAAAGAGTCATCTTGAGTCTCAAGTGAGATATGGGGCTCTTAAATGCAGGTTAGACTGAACTAAGTCTGTAGGCCTCTTGCAGACAGAAAGACAGTATTTTGCATTGTGAGGTGGACATGACCCTTAGGAGTCAGGGAAGGGTGCAGTGGTTTACAGATGACTTCAGTGTGCCCCCGAGGGCCCGTGTGCTGAAATGTACTTCCCCACTGGAAGGTTTTAAGAAGGAAGAAACTGAATTCAGCCATGATATTTAGAAGTGGGGCCTTTGGGCAGTGTTTAGGATTAGACAGTGTCAGCTGAGTGGAGACCACGTGATTCACTGCTCGTGACTGTAGAAGAGGAAGAAAAGAGGCACACACTTGTGTGTGAGGCTGTATGAAGCCCAGCGCCTCCCCCTGACTCTGCCGCTAAGAAGGTCATAAGTAAGTATGGACCTTTGCTCGACCTTGAACCAGGGCTGTGAGTCAAATAAACCTCTTTTCTTTAAAGTTACATGACCCCAAGTATTTCACTATAGTAACTGGAATTTGTAGCATCAGAGGCCTATATGCAGTGTCCTGAGAATTTACTCCTGTCTTATTGTATCTGTTTATAGGGGGACTTGCATGCACCAAAGTGATTCCATCAGATAATTCATAGAAGTGGTACTCTCCTTTCTACTATGTGGGTGACAGTGGTTAGTCAAGGTTACCAGGCTTGGCAGCAAATGCCTTTACTTGTTGAACCATCTCACTGGCCTATAGGCTCTTCTCTTGAGAATGGCAGGTGCCTGCCAAAAGGTTGCCCTGGCAGGTACCAAAGACACCAGCATTCAGCTGCTCTTTACTGAATAGGGAGCCAGTTTCTGTCTTCACATTTGGCACCTGTGAGGGTTGGTCGTGACTGTTAATGGCTCTGCTCTCTGCTCCATTCCACAAGAGTGGCCTGGAAGTGACTGGTTCAGCCCTCTCTGTCAATTGACTTTGAGTGTGCAGAGACAGGGGCTGCGGTGTGCTGGCTGAGAGTCTGCAGTGTGCTGAGCCAGGGGCTGCAGTGTGCTGGCTGAGACAGAGTCTGCAGTGTGCTGGGACAGGGGCTGCGGTATGCAGAGACGGGGGGCTGCAGTGTGCAGAGACAGGGGCTGCAGTGTGCAGAGACAGGGGCTGCAGTGTGCAGAGACAGAGTCTGCAGTGTGCAGAGACAGGGGCTGCAGTGTGCAGAGACAGGGGCTGCAGTGTGCAGAGACAGGGGCTGCAGTGTGCTGAGACAGAGTCTGCAGTGTGCAGAGACAGGGGCTGCAGTGTGCAGAGACAGGGGCTGCAGAGGGCTGAGACTGGGCTGCAGTGTGCAGAGACAGGGGCTGCAGTGTGCAGAGACAGGGGCTGCAGTGTGCAGAGACAGAGTCTGCAGTGTGCAGAGGCAGGGCTGCAGTGTGCAGAGACAGGGGCTGCAGTGTGCAGAGACAGGGGCTGCAGTGTGCTGGCTGAGACAGAGTCTGCAGTGTGCAGAGACAGGGGCTGCAGTGTGCAGAGACAGGGGCTGCAGTGTGCAGAGACAGGGGCTGCAGTGTGCAGAGACAGGGGCTGCAGTGTGCAGAGACAGGGGCTGCAGTGTGCAGAGACAGGGGCTGCAGTGTGCAGAGACAGGGGCTGCAGTGTGCAGAGACAGAGTCTGCAGTGTGCAGAGACAGGGCTGCAGTGTGCAGAGACAGGGGCTGCAGTGTGCAGAGACAGGGGCTGCAGTGTGCAGAGACAGAGTCTGCAGTGTGCAGAGACAGAGTCTGCAGTGTGCAGAGACAGGGCTGCAGTGTGCAGAGACAGAGTCTGCAGTGTGCAGAGACAGGGGCTGCAGTGTGCAGAGACAGAATCTGCAGTGTGCTGGGACAGGGGCTGCAGTGTGCAGAGACAGGGGCTGCAGTGTGCAGAGACAGGGGCTGCAGTGTGCTGAGACAGAGTCTGCAGTGTGCAGAGACAGGGGCTGCAGTGTGCAGAGACAGGGGCTGCAGAGTGCTGAGACTGGGCTGCAGTGTGCAGAGACAGGGGCTGCAGTGTGCAGAGACAGGGGCTGCAGTGTGCAGAGACAGGGGCTGCAGTGTGCAGAGACAGGGGCTGCAGTGTGCAGAGACAGGGGCTGCAGTGTGCAGAGACAGGGGCTGCAGTGTGCAGAGACAGAGTCTGCAGTGTGCAGAGACAGGGCTGCAGTGTGCAGAGACAGGGGCTGCAGTGTGCAGAGACAGGGGCTGCAGTGTGCAGAGACA